TCTGCATATTGCCCCCTTCCCCTCATTAGGACGTCACCACTCTTTGCCCTATAGCCTTAGCATAGAGGACGGACCCCAAGGGTTTATGGCCGTAAGCCAAGCCCAAAAACATAGCTTTTAAAAAGAGGAACACAGCCTTTGTTTCTCTGGTACCCATCCCCTCCCCACCTTGCAACTTAGGTGCTGCAGGTGATTCTGACTGTGTTCCCTGGAATCCGGACCAGGGAACCCGCACGTGGCTTGGCTGGTCTGGTCCGTGTGTTTTTGGAGTTCACCCGCTAGCCCTTAAGCTGCCCCATTCTTCTAAGAAGAGATTTCTTCTCAGCTGGAAACCTCAGATAAGCCATCTCTGGAGGAGGGTCCCCAGAACTCAAATGGCATTTTAAGCTGCTGGGACAAAAGTAATTCCCTCTGACCAGCGTCAGCAGATACTGTAAACAGTTGCAGCAATGATGCAGGCACCTACTGGTTGATGCCTGTGACATCAACAGAAGAGTGAAAAGCCCCCACTCATTCTCTCACACCAGCCAGTCCAACAAATCTCTCTCCCAACACCAAAATTTGTCCTCTCCTTATAAGGCTGTATGCCAAAGATATCATACTGTACAGTGCATGGGGGCAGGGAGGAACTTTATTAGACGGGACGAGAGATCACTCTTGACCTTATTATTTGTATGTGAAAATGTTCATTTCCCTCCCTCTGCAGAAAGACAATATTTTCTTACCTTCCTTCATCAATGAAGTCTACCACAAGGGTGCTAAGAATGAAGAGGATGAGGATGGCAATAAACATGTGGTAGATGGTTCGGATGTGGTCCACTTCAAACAGCTCACTGTTGAAGAAGTTCAAGGGAATAAGATGCACATTAGGACATTCAGGATGGGATACAAAATTGGGGAGGGGACATGGCTCAGTGGAAGAGTATGTAGTTGGCATGCAGAAGGTACCAGGTTCAGTCCCCGGCATCTCCAGCTAAAAAGGGCCAGACAGTAGGTGATGTGAAAGAACTTCGCCTGAGACCCTGGAGAGCTGTTGCTAATCAGAGTAGACAGTACCGACCTTGACAGACCAAGGGTCTGATTCAGTATAAGGCACCTTTATGTGTTCATGTTTGTTCCTACCTTTGTCATCCTCCAAGTGTTGATCCAAGTCCAGCAACCTCAAGAAATAACGCCTAAACATTACATTCGTACGTGAGGATTTGCACTGTCACTCCCTCCAAGGCTTACATTATTTCACCTTCCTTATAATATGGGATTGCTTTCTTTTGATGCACAATTCCCAAGAAAATCCAATTATCTGAAATTAGCCATGACACTGCATGAGCAAGTACTTTTCTAAATGCACTTTGAGGTTCTCTGGACCTTGTTTCTCAGACCTCTGCCAATTTGCACTAAGTGATGCTTTGCATCAACCTCCTTCCCAAGTGGTCAGGAAGAGATTTGGGAAGCTTCCCCAGTGAAGGTGGGAATGTCCCAAATCCATGCCTGAATCCATAATTTCAACTAGCAATTATTCAATTCAATTCAATTTATTACAGGTCTATATGACCGAAGTCTTGACCAAGAGGATACCAAAGGGGGATAAAATAGGTACATAAAATAGACATGAATGTGTCAAGGTACATAATCACAGTCACATAAAACCCAGGCTGAGCCCAGAGATTAAAAATTACCTAACTACACTTGGGGCGGAGCCAACTAACTAAAATCATCCAAAGATTAAAAGTCGGTGTCGAAGTTTTCAGAAGTGCTGGAATTTTCAATGCTTCTTGAGAGCAGCCACCTTAGCCAGGAACCGCGCCACGTTAGCTGTTATGAGTCCATCAGCATTTGAGTCAGATAACAGTGCTGAAAGCACCCAAGGTTGCGCGGGAAGATTCATCTTCGTAAGAATAGGAGAGATATAAGTGCCTCTAACTTGAGTCCAGTGGGGACAGCGAAACATCAGATGATCTAAGGTTTCAATTTCACCAGAATTGCACAGACAAAGGAACTAGCAATTATGTAAACGCAGCAAGAAAGTAGTGGGAGGAAACTGCCTCTTCCCAGTATTTTTGGAAAAGGGTTTCTGGAAATGTAACATAGATTATGAGCTAAGGCGTTCGAGTGAGATTTTGCAGGAGGGGAATTTGCAATCCCATCCTAAGCAGAGTTGTACCTTTTAAAACTCACTGACTTCAGTGGATTTAGAAGGATACAACGCATCTCAGGATTGCACTGCTGGAGCCTAAAACATAAAATCCAGCATACGAGGAGCACAACCATCTCTTTCACAAACCGCACAGAAATAAGAAGCTGCTTACACAAGAGTTGCTGTTGTGCAGCTCCTGTTTATTTCAATGGGAACTTCACAGTGCATTGGGTCCTCGGGGCCAGATCAGGCTGTCTTCTACTTGGCCTGTGCTTTTTATGTAGAAAGCACAAATCAATTGCCAACATCAACATAGGTTTGGGGATTTTTCTTTCGAAGCCTAATTGCAGGATGCTAGGCAGCATTCTAAAGAGCTGCATTTGCGCCACTCTTAGTACATCTGTAACAATTAGCTGGACAGGGCCTCCCACTGAAGCAAGTGCAGTTCCAATAATATTGTTATCTTTCATCATAAGAACATTTATAGGCTCCTCTAAACCTTCAGAGTGAGCTCTCGAAGGACACGG